TAATTTTTGACTTATTGTAGAGATGAGGTCTCGCCAAGTTGCCCAGGTGGGTCTCGAACCCGCGGGCTCATGCAATCCACTCACCTCGGCCTCCCAAAGCACTGGGATTACAGGCGGAGCCACCGAGCCCGGGTCTGCTACTTTCTAACTAGGTGACATTAAGTTTGAGTTTTCTAATTTGTAAAATGAGACTATCACCTCCTTCCTCAAAGGGGTCTTGCCAGGAAGGAATGAGATAATAAATGTAAAGCAGCTGTACATTAACCTGCACCCAGTTAAAATTCAATATATGATAGCGTAACTACTGATCTCCATAAATCCTGAGTACAAGATTGCCCAGGATTTCATATCTTCCCAAGGAGAAGATAAAAAACAAAACAAACAAAAATCACACATTTTTTGGCCCCCGTAAATACATATATCTCAGACCTATAAAGAAGTGTCAAATTACTTATAGTTAATATACTTAGCCAAAAAATGCTCATTATCAGAAACATGCAAGTATATTTATGAATGCCATTCCCCTCCCACTCTAATTTTATCAAGCAATTCTGTTTCTCATGTCTGCATCATGTCTTCATCACAACCAAGCCTGAAGGCTGCAGATTGCTTTTTCCAGAGCACCCTATCTGTGCTCCCAAGCTGAATGTAATCTGCACAGCACAGGGGCCACTAGAAATGCAGTCTCCTGTACAAGTCTCATTCTCACAACTCAGAGGTACAGTCACCCCACCTGTATGTATGCCTCACCCTGATGCTCAGGTACGGATCCACGCTGTCTACCACATAACCAGGGCACTGCTTGGTTCAGAGATACCTAGCCCTTGCAATTATAAGACCGTTAATTTTGAAATAATTACTAGATCTATGCTTAATTTCTTTGGCTTCCATTTTACACTCATCTGATCCATCATCCAGCTTTGTGAGATAAAATAACTAAATGGACACACTTGGTGCATTTCCTAAGGCCTTGAATGTATGTATCTTTTGCATATATCCTTGAATTCATCTGCTTCTTTTTTGAGGGAGAGTACTTTTTCTGGAAAAAAAATCCCCCAAACCCAGAACCTACAATAGATCACAAATCCCACATGGCCTCCACTTCAGCCACTGACCAGTTCTGTCTCTCAACCTGGGCCTTCTTGGACTTCCTTTCAGCTCTTTTGCTCGCCTGCTTATTCTGCCCTGGAATGCCCCCCTAGCCTCACCTAGCTGATTCAAATCCTAACTAACTCTCAAAGAAAATCTCATAATGGAACACAAAACCCTCCATAGTATGTACCAAACCTGCTGGTTTCTCCACATTAAATTCACAACATTTTTTTCATATTTTATATAAATTATGTTTTAAAATTGTCTTCTTCAGAGCCTGGTCCAACATGCTAGTCTCCACTGCCAGGTGAATGTCATTTCTCCCTCCTGAGCTCCTCTAAGCACCAACAATCTACATACCAATAGCGTTTGTATTTATTGCCCTTTACCATTAGTTCTTTCTAAATAACTTACTGCTAGGTCAGAAGTTTTCAGTGACAGCATAACATACCACAGTCAGGGGATGAAGGTGGAAATGCACTGAAATGATCTCAGAGTGTATCTATTACAAGCCTTTGCCCACCTCACTCTTGAATACTCAGAATATTCCCTTTGGGGATCTGCCTAAGCATCTTTTAATAGCAGAAAACAAACATACTCGCAAGGCATCTATCCCATCCTGCAATTAGATGGCCCTTTACTGCTATCAGGTCCCTTTCACGAAAGGGAGAAATCTGACCCCATGTGTATGTATATATATATATATTTTTTTTTTTTTTTGAGTTGGAGTCTCACTCTGTCGCCCAGACTGGAGTGCAGTGACTGCTCCTGGCCACCACAGCCTCGACCTGCTGGGCTCCAGTGATCCTTCCACTTCTGCCTTCCAAGTAGCTGGAATTACAGGCATGCGCTACCACGCCCGGCTGATTTTTTGATTTATTGTGGAGATGAGGTCTCGCTGCCCAGGAGGGTCTCGAACCCGCGGGCTCAGGCAATCCATTCACCTCAGCCTCCCAAAGGCGCGGGATTACAGGCTGAGCCACTGAGCCCGGCTGGCTACCGGTATATTTAAAGAGTTAAAAGAAACGGGCAAAACTAATACTAATAAATGTATTTCATTTAACTCCATACATGCAAAACATCAGTTCAACCTATGAGAGAATTCACATTCTTTTTATATAAAGTTTTTGACCTTAGTATGAAATTATCATAACCACATTGATCTGGTATGTATTTCACACCTAAGCACATCTCAGTTCTGACCAGTTGCCGGATACACGGCAATCTCGTGTGGCTTGGATACCAGTGGTGAGCTCTAGGATCCGAGCCAACCCACTCTCACCTCTGAGAGTTCTAAAAGCATTTGAAAACACATGACAAACATCCTAACACATGCTCCAAATTCTTCTAATCACTCTCCGTAAAACATGCTGTGAAGTCCTTTTAAAACTAGGAATGAGATTACAAAGTTGAACTTGGTTATTATATCAAAATAGTAAATATAATTCATTTAAACACAATTTAACACTATCACAACAATTTTCCAAGTTCTTGCCAATGTTGGCCTATTATAAATTTCATGTAATATTTCTATCAACTTTTTATTTTAAGATATTTTACACCAACAGAAAAGTTGTAAGAATAGTATGGTGAACACCTGTACACCACACTGAACCACCAAAAAATAAGTTTCAGGCCACATGACAGTGCTCCTAAATATGTCACTGCGTAGCCCTAGACAGAAAGACAGTTTCTCACATGGCCACATTATTATCATACCCAAGACATTTAATATAAATATGATAGTATTTCTTATATAAATCACATTCAAAATCTCCAATTATTATTTTGTTGTATCACAACAAAATTTTGGTATGAAAAAGTTATCTGGACTCCTGAGCTCACAGCGAGGCTGACTTCTGGTCCTACTCCTTTTCCAGTCCCCCAAATTGTCTCTCATAACCTATTATTCAAGTCTTTTCATGGAAGTTACTGACTGCCAGAGAAGAAAACCACACAATGGAACACAAAACCCTCTGTAGTATGTACCAAATCTGCTGCTTTCTCCATATTAAATTCACAGTATTTTATCCATATTTTATATAAATTATGTGGAGTTTTTTGTTTGTTTGTTTTGTTTTTTGAGTTGGAGTCTCACTCTGTCACCCAGGCTGGAGTGCAGTGGCACACTCACAGGCACCCCAGCATTGACCTGCTGGGCTCCGGTGATCCTTCCGCCTCAGCCTTCCAAGCCGGAACTACAGATGAGCACTACCATGCCCGGCTATATAAATTATGTTTTAAAAGAATGTCTATAGTAATAACGACAATTTGCCAAACCATCTGGATCGTTTTAATAATTCTCAGAATTTCTGACCAAGTTTTCTCTTTTATTATAAAAATATGGCACAACTAAAGTTTGACGTTTTCCTCAAAATGAAAAAAAAATTAAGATTAGGTAATTAAAATAATCGTGGTGGTTATAAAGTTTTTAATGAGGGTAATCCCTTCAATATCCAAGAATCAAATCACGTTCCAAAATATGTTCCAACCTATGCAAATAATGTTTTGTCATTGTATCTACAGCTAATTTTTAACCATAAAATCCTAAATAAAAGGACAGGGGAATGTTAATCATTACAAATGATCTTTTAATGAAAAGTATGTCTTTCCAGAAGAGGAGCTTTTTAAAATTGTAACTGAGAACATATCGGAATATAGTCTAAGAAGATGTATTAGAATGCTAGGCTGGTAAATGATTACAGTGAATGTCAAATTGCCTTCATCCTTGTATGATCTAAATCCTTTCTGGAACCACTGACTTGAGAAACAATCTGCCATTAATTCTTTCTACCTGATTTTTTTAAACAATAGTATCACCCTTTAATATGTCAGCAATTAATTATGTCTCTGAGTGGTATTTTCTTAAAACAAACTCCCTTTTCCCCCAAATTTACCCAGTCTTTAGTCATGTCAGAGATACTTCTAGGATTCAGTTTTCATTGCTACTTGCTTATTAAAGAATCCCTGGGTTTATTTTACAAATCCTGGGCTGAGCTACAGCATCTCGGTATCTCTGTCTCTCCTCCTTAGGTTTCTCTTACTGTCTTGTCTCTCTCAAATTCACTAGCTCTTCTTTTGCTGTTGTATCCAAGGAATTTCACTGTTGCTTCAAATACACACATCACGGCGATGTAATAAACACACATGCATAGCACAGCCACATGATTTCAGTAAAATTACACTTCATTCCTCAGCCTTCTGCCCTTCAAACAAACCCTCAACAACTTTTGAAACTAGTAAAGGGACAAGAAAGAAAGAATAACGCTGCTTTCACATTGTTAGAGCTATCTGAGACCCAGTGATAACACTGTTTACCTTCTTTTTTTTTCTTTTTTTCTTTATTTTGAGTTGGAGTCTCACTACGTCACCCAGGTTACCCAGGCTCATGGCCACCCCAGCATGACCTGCTGGGCTCAGGCGATCTTGCCACCTCAAGTAGCCAGGACTACAGGCAAGCACTATCACGCCTGGCTAAGTTTCTGCTTTATTGTAGAGACAAGAGCTCACCAAGTAGCCCAGGCTGGTCTCAAATCCCTGGGCTCAGGCAATCCTCTCACCTCGGCCTCCCAAAGTGTTGGGATTACAGGCTTAAACCACCGTGCCCAGCCTTGTTTACCTTTTTAATTGCTGCTAAGAAATTTCCAAAATTCTCCTTTCTAGGCAACACGGCCCTCTTATCTCAATTTATCATTGATTCAGATACTATTTACAGATGTGTGCTTTATAAAAGCAAATAAAGCAATAGAAAGCAGTTCAGTAGCTTCCAAATTATGAATGAGCTTCTTAAATATTTTTGAGTTGGAGTCCCACTCTGTCGCCCAGGCTAGAGTGCAGTGGCACACTCATAGCCACCCCAGCGTCGACTTGCTGGGCTCCGGTGATCCTTCTGCTTCAGCCTTACAAGTAGCTGAAACTACAGGTGCGTGCTACCATGGGCTAATTTTGATTTATTGTAGAGACAAGGTCTCACCATGCTGCCCAGCCTGGTCTCAAACCCACAGGCTCAGGCAAACCTCTCACCTCAACCACCCAAAATGTTGGGATTACAGGCTGGAGCCACCACATCTGGCCATCTTAAATTTTTAAAACATATTTTACAGAAGTCCGTCTGCATCTTTATAAAAAAAAAAAGTTGCATGAAAATTGGTGGTCAGGATGGCCTGCAATGTAGCTGTTAACTGTAACGTTAACTGCAATATTGTAGCTGGAATATTAATTATCATGGAGCTGGAATGCTCCAACTCAGAACAAATATATTTTCTCTGGACCTGCCCTGTCCGAGGTGACCACAGATCATGATAATCCTGTCTTTTAAGACACCTAGGAAGAAGGAATAAACAGATTTGTCCAGGTTTAAAAGGCACTGAGTGACCACAGGAAGCATCTTCCACCATGGAGCAGGTAACAGTGCTCCAAAGCATGGCATACCCTGCAGGCTCCACCACAGCAGTCCACCTGTACCTAGACTGTCTGAACACTGGCAAGAGTTCCAGGTTTGTCAGGCTTCTAAATGTAAAACTGGCTGGCCAAACTTACTAAAATACAGTGAAGTACAGAATATAAAATACAATGATCTAATTGAATTTGTTTGGATAGTAACCTGCCTATTCTAAATTCTTTGCAGTTGTACATCTGCAGTGTCTCAATAACTTTACATTAGCTGTCCAACAAGATAGTATGAACTAATACCCTTAGATATCAGCAATTTCTATCAAATCAAAATTAAGGCCAAGTAAATACAAATCAATTATTGCTTTATCTTTTTAAAACAAACGATTTTGCTTTTAAGATTTTACATTTTCAATGAATTAGGAGAAGAATAAGCAACAGGAAGACTGGGTAGGAAATATATAAGAAGGGTCTCTAGTAGTGTAAACTAGTACAACCTTTGGGAAAAACAGTTTGGTGATTCCTAAAAGATCTAAAAATCGACCTTCCATACAACCCTGCAATTCTCCTTCTGGGAATGTACCCGGAGGAACTCGAATCACTCTATGAAAAAGATACCTGCACACACATGTTTACTGCAGCATTATTCACAATAGCAAAAACATGGAACCAACTGTCCTGCCCATCAAAAGAGGACTGGATTAAAAAAATGTACATATACACGATGGAAGATTACACAGTCATAAAGGATAAAATTATGAACTTCACAGCAACTTGGATGGATTTAGTCTATAATACTGAGTGATCTATCACAGAAACAAAGAACTGAGTACCACACGTTCTCACTCATAAGCAAAACTTGAACAATTATCATAATATCATTAGAAAGGGATTGGCAATAGTGAAAAACTGCCAGGGGGAGGGGGTGGGACTAGCAGTAATGGGAAACTGCCAGGGGATGGGGGGCACACTTCATCAACAAGGCTACCTGCATAATGAACATTTGTATACCTGACCCTGAATTGTAATTTGTAACAAACATCTTTAAAATAAAATAAAATAAAATATTTTAAATCAATTAAAAAAAAGAAGGGTTTCTAACTGGTAGAGAATATAAAACACAAAGAAACTGGTGGCCTTGAAGAAATACCAAAATGACATTATTTCCTAAACTTTCTGAACTTGATTCAAAATACTTACTGTACTTGCTCCAGAAATATGATAAATCAAAATCACAAGTTGCATCCAGCCTTTCCATTCATCTGTTTGCTCTCGATTTAATACTTTAGTCTGTAAAGGAACGAAAATCTGTTTTAAAATTCACCAGGAATTACTTGGACAGTACATATTAAGTATGCTGAATTTTTCTTAAAGGATATGAAGTTAATACTTCTGACAAAAGAATCTTGGAGCCGGGTTCAGTGGCTCAGCCTGTAATCCCAGAGCTTTGGGAGACCGAGGGGAGTGGATTGCCTGAGCCCGCAGGTTCGAGACCCGCTTGGGCAACTTGGCGAGACCTCATCTCTACAATAAGCAAAAAAATTATCCAGCCGTGGTAGCGCCCGCCTGTAGTTCCGGCTACTGGGAAGGCTGAGGCGGAAGAATGACCGGAGCCCAGCAGGTTGAGGCTGCGGTAGCCGGTAGCGTGCCACTGCACTCCAGGCTGGGAGATGGAATGAGACGTCAACTCAAAAAAAATTTTTTTTAAATCTTGGTGATGGTGGTAGTGGTGAGAGAGAGTTAAAAACTGCCATTGTAGCCAGGCTCGGTGGCTCAGCCTGTAATCCCGCGCCTTTGGGAGGCTGAGGTGAGTGGATTGCCTGAGCCTGTGGGTTCGAGACCCACCTGGGCAACTTAGCGAGACCTCATCTCTACAATAAATAAAAAATGAGCCGGGCGTGGTAGTGCGCGCCTGTAGTTCCAGCTACTTGGAAGGCTGAGGCAGAAGGATCGCGGTAGCCCAGCAGGTCGAGGTTGCGGTGGCCGGGAGCGGCCACTGCACTCCAGTCTGGGCGACAGAGTGAGACTCTAACTCAGAAAAAACAAACAAACAAACAAAAAAAACCTGCCATTTTATTTCTTGCTAAAAGATACTGCAAAACTATTTTAAATATATGAATCTGAAAAACAAATATAAACTTAAAGAGATTTTGAATATTTAAGTTGATCCTTTGGTTTTATATTAAAATGCCATTTAGACTATGACAGATATATTTGTAAATATAAAAATCGCGTTCTAGATATTTCATTAAAATTTCAGAGTTAAAAAGATCGTATAGTTTCCTTACCCTTTATTGGCATAGAAGCCCTATTATTACAATCTATTTTCCCTAGCATATTGTCACTGGAGATGAAGAAGTGATTAAAAATCCTCATAGGAGAGGCATCTTTTACAACAGAATTTACTAATCCAAATAAGTCATGCCTAGTAAATCACTGCACAAATGTTCTGAGCAATGCAAGCAATTCTAAAATAGGAAATTCAGAATACTGTGAGTAGTGACACATCATTATGTAAGTTTAACTTGTGTGTGTATATATATCTGACTGTAAATACATAAATACATGTTTGTGCATATAGGCACTTGTGAATATAATCACATATTCTTCTAATAGACAAAAGATTATAATATCTCATGCTTAAAGACCGTTATAAAATCAGAAGCGCTTCAACTTTCTCCATCCCCAAGCAGGCAAAAAACACTAAGTCATGACACCTTTTCACAGTCACATTTTCCAACTTTCAACAATCATTAAGTGATTCTCGACGTCCACCGAGCTGTTCCAAAAGCCACAGCTAAGGGCGCACTATGTGGAGCCTCACGGCAGGAAGCCTTAACCCAGGTCTACACACGGGCTGTTTGTTCTGGCACAGTAAACGATATGATCTTTAACAGAAGAGTTTGTCATGAAAAAAAGAAGGGTAAAATGAGCTAAAAAGAATATGACCCTTACCTCTTTAGTATTTTCATTGTAAAATACTCCCAAAACCAAGATGTAGATAATTGGAATAAAGAAAGATGAATGTGTATAAAACTTGTTTTCCTTCATAAACAGATTTGCACGGTCACACATATAGAAATAAGCCATAATAAGGCCGAGTTTGCAAAAAGACTGTAAGAGGGTTTCTAGTGGAGACACGGGGGTGTTGACAATATGTTTCTTTTCCTCTCCACTTTCCAAATCAGTGCATGGTTTATTCTTCCGATGAGCATTACGATGAATTATATAAAAAAGTAAATATCCAATAATAGATAAAGCAAAAAACCCAGCAGCCAGAGTCTGTATGAGAGTGAGAGGGGGCCGAGGCTGACAGCAGGAACCATCCACAGGCTTCAGGATCTTATTACAATATACGTTCATAAGAATCATCGCACTCTGTGAACAGATCAAATTACTTGGTTATTGTCTTGTCAGTGATGCCCTTCACATTAAATGTTCTCTGCTGAACACTGCTGAGTTTTCAACACTGAAACCAAAATGCTTTTGTACTTTTTTGCTACCATCTCCTCAACACTTGTGCAAGTGATGGTATTCCTTCAATCTGTAATAGCTAGTTCAGGGTGTTTCAAACTTCTGGGACTATGATACATGAGGAAAAATTCATTTATAATGTGACCCAGAACAGGAAATAATGTACGGCGTACAGGAAACAATACCTACCCTTACTGCTTGGAATGCACTCTGATGTTGTTCCGTTCTTTTTTTTTAAAAACATTGTTTTCATGGCTGTTAATTTTTTTAACCTTTCGTTTAAAAAATGCTGAGAGATGATAAGGACCAAAGAATTTTAATTAGCAGACTTTCAAAACAGAAGTTTCAAGGATACTTAAGAGTCTACTCTTTAGATGGGAAGAAACCATGTAAAATTAACTGCCACCTAAAAATGATCGATTCTTAGCTAACAATATTTACAATATGCCTTTCATTGGGCTTATAGCTTATAGACCACGTAGCAGTCTTCAGTTCTAAGATTCATAATGTTAAATAAAATGTGGAACTTTCAACATGGTTTGGTGATAATAAAATTGTTCTGGGAAAGCTGTCAAGAGTCCGTCTAGCTAAAGTTTCAGTCAAAAGTGGTGGGAAACTGCAGAGAGGGGTGTGAGGGGGTAGGATTGACAGTAGTCGATATCTGCCTGAGGAAGGCGGGGGGGCACACCTCATCAATAAGGGTACCTGCACAGTGAATATTTGTATACCTAGCCCTGAATTGTACTGCACAATTTTAAATAAAAATTAAAAGAGGAAAAATAAAATAAAATAAAATAAAAAAAATAAAGTTTCAGTCAAACTCTAGTTTTACAACAGTTTCCCAGTTTAGGTATCTGAGGAACTCTAACGATTATGTTATTTAAGCCTCAGCATTCAAAGCACTTGAATGTTTAGAAAATCCCATCCTTGTAGGCTTGAGACTTCAGGAGGGGTCCTATGCCCATCAGATGCCAGTCTACGAATTCTACTGCAAGGTGCCTAACCAGCTTCTGGGGGTCCTCCCAGTCCCTTCAAGTGCACAGACAATCATGAGCATGTGCAAACATACACAATCTTCTGCAGGAGAGGAACAGAACTCTTGCCTTCTATCAGATACTTAAAGGGCATATAAGACCCTCACAAAGATTAAGAACCATTACTTTCTAAGAGGAAAAAAAAAATCTGTCCTACTGTCCATGAAAACGTTCAGTTAGTTACGAATTCTCTTGCCTACTTAACCTAGCCCCTTTCCATAAGCCACCCTGGATTTGTTATGGGTCTGCTTTGTACCCTGAATAATGTTTAGGGTATAAGAACCACAAGGAAATAACAACAAATCATCTCACATCTTAAAAAATTATTCATGGAAGCTTAAACTTGCAAGCTTAAAGTTTAAGGCAAGGAGAGAATAAGGCAGCAGTTTTCAAACAGGAGAGTGCTGAGAACTGCGAGCTTCTGGTGAGACAACGGCTATTAACCGGGAGCAGCGCTCGGAAATTCAGCTTCACTCCTCCCTCCCATACCATCTTTCTCTCTTAGAGTACACAAACACTCTGACCTCACATATTCAGCTAGAGGAAAGAAAGCAAAACAATTTCTCGGTGCCTCTCTAAACAATTAACTCCACGTACTTAAGACTGCAATAATTTATGACCATGTTTTTAAGAACTTACGGCTATAGTCAACTGACAATACAGTCTCCATCTACTGACAAATACAAGAATTCTTACAGTTTCTCTGCTTGACTCAGGAAGATGTAAGCCATCCAGAGATTCCATGATGGTTTCTTGAGCAATTAATTTGGAAACACTGAACATCTTAACGTTAGACTTAGAGTTTCTGGTGCTGCTGTTCAGAACGCTGACTGCAGCTTCATTATAGGCGTCGATCTTCTCATTGGTGATCATCCTCCTGTTTTCACTTAAGAGGTCTTCGTAAACAGGGTCTGCACATGAAAGACATTTTTAAAATCACTTAAAGTACTTATTGGTAAAAATCGTGGTCATGCAAGTTAGCTGATCCATATTTCATATTTTGTCCTTAAAGTCCAGATGCTACCAGGCACCTAATAATTTATTTTTACATAAGGTGGGCCAAGGGCTGCAAAAGATTTCTTTCTTACAGTCAACTTTTTAGTCAATCAACATCTTTCTTAAATTTAAAGAAACTTTGTCCTTTCCCTAGGTACTCAGATTTGGGGAAACATTTTTATGTTCCAACATATCTTAAGAGTTTAAAATAGGCCTGGCACGGTGGCTCACACCTATAATCCCAGCATTTTGGGAGGCCAAGGTGAAAGGACTGCCTGAGCACAGGGGTTCGCGAACTTGGCGAGACCTTATCTCTACAATAAATCAAAAAATTAGCTGGGCATGGTAGTGCGTGCCTGTAGTTCCAGTTTGGAAGGCTGAGGCAGAAGGATCACCTAAGCCCAGCAGGTTGAGGCTACGGTGGCCATGAACATGCCACCGCACTCCAGCCTGGGTGACAAGTGAGACTCCAACTCAAAAAAAAAAAAAAAAAAAAAAAAGAGTTTAAAATGTTTGGATGCTGAATCGTACTGGGTAACAAGAAATTAAAAATGGATCACGGGGCCGGGCTTGGTGGCTCAGCCTGTAATCCCGCGCTTTGGGAGGCCGAGGTGAGTGAATTGCCTGAGCCCGTGGGTTCGAGACCCGCATGGGCAACTTGGCGAGACCTCATCTCCACAATAAATCAAAAAATTAGCCGGGTGTGGCGGTGCACGCCTATAGTTCCAGCTATTTGGAAGGCTGAGGCGGAAGGATCATCGGAGCCCAGCAAGTCGAGGCTGCGGTGGCTGGGAGTGGCCACTGAACTCCAGTCTGGGCGACTGAGTGAGATTCCAACTCAAAAAAAACCAACAACAACAACAACAACAAAAAAAAAGGATCACGGAAGACTGCCTCATTAAGAATGAGTCTTTTTTTTTCTTTCCTCCTGTCACTGCTTAATTTTGTAAATTTTGTTCATACAATTAGGAGTTAATATTACTGAGAATCAAGGTCTGTCTATTCTATCATTTACAATAAATAATTTAAATTTATTTTTTCTCATTTTAGTATGAAAAAAGTTAACAATCAGTCTGTGGCTAAAATAGGAATTGTAAAACAGATTGCCACCACCCTTCCTTATTCCTTTCATCTTGACATTCAACTGGGAAATCAGCATAAGAGATTCTGACAAACAACTTGAATTGCTAAAATAGCCAAGGCATTTCATATTGTGCTAGGCATTAAATAATAGACATTCAATAAATTTCGAAATGAGTTAATCTAATATCCACCTTCACTTAAGGAATTTCATTACTAAATATAAACTATGTGGTGTAAGTTAAAGTATATTCTGTCAATTCAAAGTAGATCTACTTACAGTGACTTCAATATTATGAAAGAGACAATATTTTTTTCTATATTTCCCAAACACAATAAATACACTTTGTAAGAAATAAAAAGCCAGAGGTAAACATCTCAGCTGCCATTGGGGCTTATCACCTTGTTACATAGTCTATTGCCATCTTGCCTGCTGAGGTTCTAGGAGAATGTTACTTATTTATTTTTTACTTATTATATTTATTAGTCTGTTCCTTACACTTACAAGAGGAAAGCAAATACCTCAAGTGTATTCTAATCTTGCAAATCTGATTTCAAGATATATTCTCATAAAGCAGTAATTTTTCTTCTTGAAACAAGAGATAATAAAAAACCCATGTCTCAAAGTATATACAAAATGACATTTTTTCATTACTCATTCCTTACCTTGTAAGACCCAATAAACATCACTAGTCTTTGCCAATTTTTCTAAAAGTGGAGCAATGGAGGTAATGTTCATCTTGTATTGAGAAAGTGCCTCACTGCTCCCGTTGTGAATCTTGATGGACCACTAGGGAGATGCAGAGACTGAGCATGAATTCAGAATTTATCACAGAAAAACCAAAATATGATTTACCTACTGGAATATGGGTTATTATTTTAAGATAATTCCCATTTTTATTTAATATGAGAATAAAACTTGGTCAAATTATCTCATGAACTATATGAAGACAGTAGAAAAAGCTATTAGAAAATTAGACTTTCAAAATATAACATTCAAGAAGAATACAATCTTAGATACGAAAGAAAACTAACACTTGACACCAAATTTCCTAAGTTCATTCAGGTCTTGTTTGATTATAACAGAAATAGAAATTAAAATATAAGTGCAATCAAGAATTCTATTTAATGTAAGTTAAATTTCCCTAGTGCATCCTTCAGTGTGAAACAAAACTCCTCACATAAACATGTAGACAATCACTCACTGTGGCAGCTCCGGCTACGATCACGTGGGGCTTGGCAGTGGAATCCTAAAGCAAGAGAAAGCTTTGTCATGGAGCTGTTTCCTGGTCAGAGAATTGAGGCAAATAGCATCATTCCATTTTTTCTTTGAAACTTATGCTCTTCTTCCTTCCAATCCATTTTAAGTTTTTATAACTCCTTATTCTTCTTCTTCTTTATTGTTGTTATAATAGGAAGCCATCACAAAACCTAAAATCTTAGATGGCTACGTGTTGACACAGGATGATGGCATGATGCTTGCTTGGTTAATGTTTCGGTGTTCTTGTCTTTTATTATTTTAAAGATGTGGGTTACAATTCAGTGTCAGGTATATAAATGGTCATTATTCAGGTACCCTTGATGAGATGTGCCCCTCCCCACCCCCCAGCAGTTCCCCATCACTGCCAATATCCCACCCCCACCCCAGCAGTTTCCCACTACTGCCAATCACTTTGTTATAGTATTATGATAATTGTTCACAGTCCACTTATGAGTGAGAACATGTGGTACTCAGTTCTTTGTTTCTGTGATAGATCACTCAGTATTATAGACTCTAAGTTCACCCAAGTTACTGAGTTCCTATGTGACTTTATATTGTCCTGAACTCTTGAGTAAATTAGAGAGTTCCTGAGGTTACTGGTGTGCTTGTAATATATCTAATTTATCTCCAAATTTTATAAGCTAAAACATACTAGCCCTGTCTGCTGGGTCACAAATCTAATGACCAAGGGAATAAAAGCTATGAAAATATATGCAAAGTCCCTTGAAGGACCCGGGTATGGGTTTGGAGGACAAAGTGGAAAATGGTCAAGAGAATGTACATTGTGCTGGGAAGATTACTGGGTCTGAACTAGCTAAACTACACCAATAACAAAAAACCCTAAGTCTAAAGAGTACGGCATAAGCATCAGCAGCCTAGGGGTCGGGGTGGTTACAATAGGACAGAGACGTCAGATTGACACTTTCTCCTCCCAGGAAAGAACCAGGGTCAGCCCAGCACAGCCCAGCTGCTATTTGGAAGGGGGTATAAAGTGGCAAAGGAAGAGAAACAGATGCTCATGGGTTTAAAATTTGGTTGCTCAAAAAGATGGCCTATATTTTCAAATACAGACCTCAGTCCACACTTTGATGCACTGTTTCATAGAACCATTAACCTCAGGATGCCACAGAAAATCCTAAAAGAGAAATGTTAGAAGAAGTCAAAGAAACTCTTATTTTCACCGTTCAAAATAAACATGAGTGTTCTCCTACTGAATTCTGGGCGGTGAGAAAGTGGATAGTACCTTGTCCAAGACCTCATCTCCATCGCTACATGGCAAGTCTCACCATACCCTCTGTGAGCCACTGTGCCTTTCCCTCAGGTGCTCTCCACGTTTTAACTGAGGGACTCTTTTAAGGACTTAAACCTGACGTTGCCACACCCTGCTTGAATGCTCAGAGTCTTTCGTTGCCTTCAGGACAGAATCCCCAGTTCCACAGATCGCCGAGAAGGTACAGGGTTGGCCTTGCCTGTCCCTCCTGCCTTCCTTCTGCAAACTGGTTCGTGCCGTCCAAGCACCCAGCCAGCTCCTGGCCAGTCCTGGCACACGTTAGGTGCCCCTTTCTCTGTGCACCTGCATACATTGCTCCCACAGTGCTTATAATCTTGTCACTGAGCCTGGCAAACTCCTACTTACCCTTGAGACCTCAGTTAAAACCCTGCTTCTCAAGGAGAGAAACGGTACTCCATTCCTCATCTGGTCATTTCTAACACACGCTCCTTCTTTCTCCCGTGCTTGCCCCACTGGTTCTGCACACAGAGAATTATAGAAGCCGGCCATCCCAATCAGTCAGGTACAGTCCTGGTTGGACCCCTGGGAAGCCTCACCGTGACTGGGAATTCAGAAATTCACTTACGCTCTTTAACAGACATTAATCCTGAACACATACTGGTTCAAACTAATGTACACAATTTTTTTCCTGGATAAAATTTTAAGACTATAGTTTTATTACATAAAACAGCTCACACAAACTTTTATTTCATTATCTTAATCTTCTTATCTACTTTCAAGAATACACTGAAACATACTCAGTATGCAAAGTGCTAGCCAACCTGCAGATACATTCACCTGTGGCTGTAGTTTCAGCACACAACATCTAGCTGCCTGGGACATGAACTTACCACTTTCACTGAGGCAATCTTGTCTTCAAAAGGAATGTTTTCATGCTGCCATAAGAAAGGAGACAACAGAGAAACATCAATGCATACATGAAATTTATGTAATTCTCCCTTGAGCTGTTTCGCTGATTTATTTTTATGCACCAAATCTCAATGATCTCTACATTCAACCAGAAAGGGAGGGGGAGCAAAAAACCTACATAGAATACCAAAAAGTAAATGACCAGTTGTTGATATATGATTTTCAACATCTAAGATGTAGTTCAGATAAAATGTCTGCAGACTAGCAGACACGAGCATGTGCCTACATGAAAGATCTCTCTGCCCAGCTCGTAGGGTTCCAGCTGAGTCTTGGCATTCCTATCTCTGGCAGTGATGACTGCTTCCTGACCCTTCCAGGTAGGTAGAACCTCAGGGCTAGTTCTGGCCAGTACAGTGTGGCTAGCTGTGTTGCAGGTTGCCTGGGTGAACGATAGGTGGTCCCCAGTCTCTGTCTGAGCCTGATGCAGAACACGGAAGCTGTTCTGGGTACTGCAGATGATGGTAAGAAGCCCAATGGCAGGAACCCCTCAACGGCTGTGTGCAGCAACCCTCTGCCAGCCCACCGGGGACACGCAGCATTTGGGGGGAATCTGACCTGTTTTGTTAAGATTGTAGAGTGGGTCGCTGCTGCAGTCAAATCCAGCCCACTCTCAACAGTGTTCTGGCATAGGCACTGACTAAACTGAAATGGGTAAATATGACTCAAGGTTACTGTAGTGTTCTTTTAAAGACAGTACGTAATAGTCTACTGGCGGGAAAAATCAAACGTCTGGCGACTACAACTTGTTCCATATACAGAATGGAAATGTTCTCACAGTTAGAAATCCTGGGTGGGGTGAGATCAGGATTGTCAAGAAAAGGGACTTCTGTTCCTGAAACCAAGGCTGACTTGTCTCCACTAATTTAACCAGCAGGATTTACATTTAAATCCCCATAAAATGAAGTCTGTTTTTCTGACAGGCTAATTTCTTCGATTCTTGTTGGTCCTCCTGAAGCATCATTTCCCCAAAGGAGTCTTGGAACCATTAAGTCAGTGACACTTCAAGGCATCTGAAAAGAGTGTTCTTGATCGAAGGCAATAGGGACATACATAAAACTCCTCGGACCCCATCCTCGATCTTTAAAAAACTTGTCCTCAGAGAAATAATGTGTCTGAACCATGTTTTCCTTTTGCATAGCTTAGTTAATGCAACTCAATCTTCTTCTTTTCCTTTATTATTTTAATAGAACATTTGATATATACAAAAGTCACAAAGCAGAATAAAAATATACATTAATCCCACACACTGAACTACCTATGGAACTCTGTGCTTCACCCAAAGAAAACCACTATCATGAATTTTTGTCTTTATACTTTGCTTGTTTTCTAAAAACTATCGCATTATATCTAAATATGATATGATTTAGATATATTTTTAAAACATGTTTTTATCACATACGTGTGCATCTTTACATGATATAGTCTTTAGTGTGTTCCATTTCTCTCCAATTCTTTTTTTTTTTTTTTTTTTTTGGGTTGGAGTTCACTCTGTCGCCCAGACTGGAGTGCAGTGGCCGCTCCCAGCCACCGCAGCCTCGACCTGCTGGGCTCCGGCGATCCTTCCACCTCAGCCTTCCAAGTAGCCGGAATTACAGGCATGCGCTACCACGCCCAGCTGATTTTTTTATTTATTGTAGAGGA